AAAAAACAGACTATTTAAATGGTATTTCAGAAGTTCACAGAGGATTGACGAAAACTTCTAAAATTTTGTGTACAGAATGACAGTACTTATTATATGGGGGCACCAATAGGTCCTGAAGGCCTATTATATGGAGGTACCCATAGGCCCTGAAGGAAGTAAGGCAGTAAGGATATAGGTAATAAGGGGTAAGGCAATAAGGAGATAAGGCTACAAGAGCTAGAAAGGATATAAGGCCCAAGGGTCAAAGGTTAAAGATTAAAGGTCAAAAAGACTATAAGGGGTAAGGTCATAATGGGATAATGCTATAAAGGAGTAAGGTAATAAGGGAGGAAGACTATAAGAGAGTAAGGCAATAAGGAGATAAAGCTATAAGGAGAGAAGGCCCTAAGAAGGTAAGGCTATAAGGGGTAAGGTAATAAGGGATAAGGCTATAAGAGAGGATGACTATAAGGGGAGAAGACTAAGAGGGTAAGACTATAAGGGAGTAAGGCAATAAAGAGGGAAGGCTATTACGGGGGAACGCTATAATGGAGTAGAGCTACAAGGAGAAAGGCTAAACAAGCGACAAGAAATATAAGGCTGTAAGGCTACATGGAGTATTACGGATATAAGAATATCACGCATAGGGCTTCTACGTACATAATGTCGAGTGTTTCTGTGTCTGTTACCGAGTGAAAGGTTAAAGTTTTTAGGTTGTACATTAAAGAAAGAAACGCTGCCGTGCAGTATGCACGGGTTCTCGCTAGTATATATATATAAATTATTTATTACAAAAAATCTAATGATTAGTAATACTTTTATTAAATTTTGTTCTTATTGGACTGCATTTCTTATTCAGTATTTCTTTATATTGATTACGTGTACGAAATTTTGCATATCGTGCTCCATATAAGTCAAAAGTCAATTGTTTTATTCACTTCAGAGTCAAAAACTAATAACTAATGGGTCTTTTGTTGTTTGTTCATTTAGATGACCGATAAAAGAAATCTTGAACATGTTATATGGAGCAGAACAGGAGAATTATTTATTCGTCTATTTGGTTCTGGGACCGATCAGTCAACAAAAACAACAAGTGAAGTTCATATAAATAATTTACAACAGATAATATCAGAAAATAATATGTTACTTCAAAAAAGTGCTATTACAATCATATCTGATAATGGTCCGGATTGGAGTACTGATTGTATGGCGAACATTTATAACTTAGGAAGATTTTGGGAAGAACAAAAATTGGATGCATTAATCTTGGTTAGCTACGCTTCAGGTTATAGTCGTTTTAATCTAATCGAACGTATGTTCTCAAGATTAACTGATTTATTACAGGGTGTTATTATTGATCTGGATCCATCATTTAGAGAAACATCGCAACAACTGGATATGGAATTGATTGAATTATGTAAATACTGGAATAATAAAAGTTATTGTAATTATAAAATTGACTGTGGTCCAATGTTTTCCGTCAATGGAAATGCATTTGATGGTCATGAAAAATTAAAGAATTTATTAATGAATAAATCACAAATACAAATACAAGAAAATTCAAATGTCCAATTTAGTTTACAACTTTATCTGCGTCACTGTATTCGTTCAACATATTATACGTTGTTTATTAAATGCAATGATAAATATCGTGTACATTGTCCTCGTTATCCAATTTGTGCTACATAAACAATGTCTTTGCTTCGTGCTGGTGGTGGATATATCCCTCGCCCAACAATGACATATAGTAATAAACATTACGTTACATTTTTACAGAGAACATATTCAATATTATCGAGTGAAAAATTTTTTATCCAGATGAACATTTATTATTCGGACCAAAAGTGAAATGTTCAAAATGCAAATTGCCATACGTATTTCTATCAAAAGCAGATGAAGATAGACATAATCAATGGATACATGCTCCAAAACCGAAACTCAAAAGATCTTCAACTCAAGTCAATAAAATTACAAAGCGAAAAAGACGTTCTTGTTCATCTGAATATGGATTAAGACGTTCACACTAATATTTGATTATTGAAATTATTTTGATTAGTCAAGTTGAGAAAATTTCAATAAATTTGACTTACCTACGTACAGAAATTCTTATACAAAAATTAAAAAAAATCATTATTTTCGGAGAAAATGAGTAGTCTAGAGTTAAAGAATATTGAATAGAAAAAGAACAATATTTATACTTCGTGTATATGTATACACACATCAAAGGAAACAAACAGTATATTAAAATGTAATTAAAACAAATCCGTCATGTCACGGCAGAACGGCAGAGTGGCACGAGAACGGCAGAAAGACAGAGCGGCAGAGTGGCAGAGCGGCTGAACGGCAGAAATTTTGAAATGCTCCCTTAAAGAATATTGAATAGAAAAATAACAATATGTATACTTCGTGTATACATATACACACATCAAAGGAAACAAACAATATATTAAAATGTAATTAAAACAAATCCGTTATGTCACGGCAGAACGGCAGAGTGACACGAGAACGGCAGAAATACAGAGCGGCAGAGTGGCAGAGCGGCTGAACGGGAGAAATTTTGAAATGCTCCCTTAAAGAATATTGAATTGAAAAAGAACAATATGTATACTTCGTATATACATATACACACATCAAAGGAAACAAACAATATATTAAAATGTAATTGAAACAAATCCGTTGTACCGCGGCAGAGCGGCCAGCCGAACGGCAGGAATTTTGAAATGCTTCCTTCATAATGGAAAACGCTCTTCAAACATTATGACAAATTGCAGAATCTGTTCGCGTGTACCTCCAAAAGAAAGGTGTTTGATTATAGTGTCAAGCGCTCTAATTCCAAGGCACTAGCAAGCGTATGCTTGATGGTGTATCACTGTCTTCTTCTTGGTATGCACGTTAGAAGGAGAAAAATCAAAATTATCATGTACTACTTTCTCTGTGCTATGAATAGAAAATCCATAGTGCTAAGTAATCCGCACCACCATCTATTACGTATTCAAAACCTGAAACTAGGATCCACTAGCTGTCAACAGGCTGCAAAGAGGACGAGGTAAGGCGGCCTGGAAGACGTCGATAATGAGCCGATTGATTCATCTATGATTGAATTCATCACTGGCGCTAACAATCGATAGTTCTCCCACACATGAAAAGCATTGCGAACGAAAGAGAAAAGATGAATGGGTTTTTCTCAATTACTCTTGATATTGCTCTTTGGGTCGTCTGGTTCAAATTTCATTATGTATCTCTGTTCGTGGTGGTAAATTGAGAAAGTCACTGATAAGTAAAGTTGATTGGATAGGATTTGGATTCGATATGATTTGACTCACGTCAGTTGAATGGAATCGAATCCAATTATAATACGCCTCAATTGAATTTTCCCCTTTGCGGGTGTGAGTATGGGGTGAGGGTGTGGGTGGGTGTGGGGTGTGGGTGGATGTGGGTGTGAGTGTGTGGATGTGCGTGTGGGGTGTGGGTGTAGGTGTGGGCGTGGGTGTGGGCGGGGTGTGAGTGTGGGGTGGGTATGGGTGTGGGTGTGGGTGTAGGTGTTGGTGTGGATGTGGGTGTGTGGGTGTGTGGGTGTGGGTGTAGGTGTTGGTGTGAATGTGGGTGTGGGTACGGGTGTGGGTGTGGGTATCAGTTGAGGAGTACTAACACTCACACCCACACCCACCCACACCCTTGTGGGTGTTAATGAATAGTACACCCACACCCACATCTCACACCCACACCCACACCCACACCCACACCCACACCCACACCCACACCACACACCCACACTCACCCACACTCACCCACACCCAGCCACACCCACACCCACACCCACACCTACCCACACCCACACACCCACACCCACACCCACATCCATACCCACACCCACACCTTATTTAAACCAAATAACGTTGTTTTAACCTGTACTAAGTCAGGTAAATTAACTACATCTCTAGTAAAATATTGGAGAGATGAAGTATTTGAACCAATCGTTCAAAATAAAAATTATCTGTTAATATCTGATTGTTCGGGAGGACATGGTGATGATGAAATATATGAACAATTAACTAGTAGTAAAAGATTAGAGATTCCCAAGAAAACAACATCAATGATACAGCCTTTAGATGTCTACTTCAATCGACAATATAAAGTTATTGCAAGAAAAATTTACGATCATATTCGTTTACGTAATAGTGATATAAATTTATGTCAACGTAATAATATTATAAAGTTGAATTCTTTGATATATAATCAATTATCGTCAAAACATTTTAATAGTATGATTAAATATGCATGGTTTCAATCAGGGTATTTGAAAAATGACCCAGGAAGTTTTAAAAATGTTAAAGAAGTATGTTTCAAATTTCAAGACTCTTCATGCAACGGCAACAACTGTGCTGAACCAACGTTTATTCGTTGTAGTTGGCGTGAAAAGTCATTATGCATTGATCATTTTTTTTATTGACAATCATGTTCATTAATATGGATGTTTTAGTATTTAAACAGTTATTTATTGTTTTCTGATCCCATATTTTTAATACTTTAGCTACTACCTTTATTTTCACGAAAAGTCTCTTAAATAAATCTCAGAAAACAACTTAAAACTTAAAAAAATAAAAAACCGATCAAAACAAAAAAAAAGATTCTTTTTGAGCAAGAGGTGTACCTGGACAGGGAAGAGACATTCGTACCTCTGATGACTCTAGTCGTCCGATTGAATACCTAACTATCGCGCCAACATGACTTTCTTTATGAATTTACCAGAAGCATCATACGGTATTACTTCTCATTAACTTCTGAGTTTCTTTTGCCAAGGAGGAAATTGTGTAACGTAACTTGACAATGAAAAATTCAATAGACTACCACCCCCAGCTCCCCTTCACCCAAATATCTAAGATATTGAACAATGCCAAGAAATAAATTCAGAATTTCGCATCGTATTTTCATAGAATTATGGTTCTTAATCTATATACAGTATAACGCGAACAGTGATAGGTATTTGAGCGTTATTGATACTTCGATAAAAATTGGAAAATATTTTCATGGTTTTATTTCATTACTCATTAGTTAAGCTTTCATTATGTGTACAAAAAAGTATTTTTTTTTTAAATTATAAGTTGCGTGAATTTATGATTCTCAGTTCTA